AAGGATGAGTAGACACATCAGTTAGTAGAACTCATTACAGGGAATCTAAATTATGCATTGAAGAACTACTATAGAATGCAGACGGGCATTAAGGTGCCTGATGAAACTTGAATTTTGTCTGAGTCTATGTTGATAGGTATTCCTTTTATGTGTTATGTATTTGTAGGTATTATGCCGATAGGTAGTGGTACTTCTTTTCTTGATGCTGCAAAAATATTATAAAGGCATTGGTCAAAGGTCACAGTGCTTATCTAATTAATGACTTTTCCTTTTCCTTCTCCTCTATCTTCTCATTATTATTATCAATAATATAATTATAAAAGTAATACATTCATAATGCAAGAGATGAAAATAGTCCTAATGGATATAAAATGAAAAATGAAAGACTCCCCTCCCCTAGCTCCTACTTCCAATAGGATTTCACTGTTATCAGTTCCTTTTTTGTTTCTATAATTATAAAATGTGTTGAAAAAAAAGCTCCCCTTAAAATCCTACATTTAGCATATTATTCAGAAAGATTAAGAAAGATATGATATCCAGGAAATAGGAAGAGAATGCTATGTAAAAAAGAAAAATTGGAAAGCACTAGAGTGTCCTTGAAAATTAAAAATATTACAGCAGAAATGAACAAAAAGAAGCATATTCAAAGACTAGAGGAGGACGTTTAAGAATAATTTCAGAAAGTAGAACCAGAAGGAAAACATTTTTAAAATGTTTTTTAAAAGACAGGAAAATTAGTGCCTCACTCCAAGAGGTTCAATATATAAATAATAGTAAATATATAAATAATGAAACTTGAATTTCAAAAAAAGAGAACAAAGAAATAGTAGAAATAACTTTTTAAAATCAATCAATTAATTAAATAAATACATAATGAGAGTTTATTATGTCCCAGCACTATCTAGATGCTTGGAATACATCAACGAACAAAACAGATAAAAATGACTTCACTTTCTGGAACTTAACATTCTGATAGGGCTAGACAAAGAATAGTCAGGTCATTTACGTAAGACAGTGCAAAGTGATTATTACTATCAGAAACAAATAGAAGCAGGGAAGAGGGATCCAGAGACAGTATGGGAACTGTTTGCTAATTTAGATAGAACGATTAGGAATAATTAGGGCAGAGCTCATTTACAAAAGGTGAGATTTGACAAAGACATTAGCCAGGAGGATATACAGGGAAAAATTCTTCCAGACGAAGCTCCAGATGATAAAAGACCTCAGATAGGAGGGTACCTGCATCTGGCTAGAATAGAGTGAGCAGGTCACAGAGGGCCTTGTTAGCTACTCTACAGACTGGGTTTTACAGGGATCTGTTGGGGAGATCTGGTAAGAGGAGAGGAACACTGTTTTAGAAGCAGTAATCTCTGCTTTTAAAGAGATTATTTGCTTTGTATTGAGAATAGCCTGGATTTTGGTCTGTAATTGTGTGGGTCTATGTGTTATTTTTATCCCTTTCATTTTTTGAAGGTGGTGGCCTGTATACTATCCTAAAAAAATATTTGGAAGCTTTTCTTACTTCTGTATTATATGAAATCACTTGAATAAAATTGGATTTAAATACTCCTTGAAATATTAGTAAAATTGAACCTGTGAAACCATCTGACCCTGACATTTTTTTTTCCAGAGACATATTATATAGAATACATTCACAATTGTTTAACCTATGGCTGATGGCCTACTTAAGGTTATCTATTTATCTTGAATCAAATTGTAATAATTTATATTTTCCATTGCAACCAGACTTTCAAACTTATTTGTATAGTTGAGGAAGCTATTCCTTTATGATTTTCTTAATGTCTTCTAGCTTTTGGCTAATTCCTTGTTCTTATTTCTAATTTGGATTGTTTGCATTTTCATTTTTTTCTGATTTTATGTTAGTGTTTAATATATCTAATTCATTCAAAGAAACAATCTTTGAATGTATTATTTTTCACATTTTCTATTTCTTAACACATTCACTTCTATGTTTGTCTTTGTTTCTTCCTTTTTTTCAGTTTTATTTAGCAGAATTACATGATGGTTAAAAGCACAGACTTTGAGTTTATATTGTCTGGCATCTAATACTGTTTTCCTGTAGTAACTACGTTTCTTTTTCTAAATAAATATTTGTTTTAAGTGTTCTGCTGGCTAAATTAATTGCTCCTTTGACGCATATTCCTGTAACTGCTGTTTGGTTTTTTATATTTCTTCCCTTATTTTTTATGATTTTACTTCTTGTTATTGTGATATTTATTCACAGATGCCCTCTTTGAAGTTTGCTCTTGATGCCTGCTTTACAAGAAGGCCATTAGTCTCAAAACAATTTTGGAAATGTCTGGAAAGTGAGGCAAGGAATCCAACAGTCTTACCTCTCAGCAGTTAGAAGTTATCCCATCTGGGGGAAATAAATCACTCCTGTCTTGCAATAAAATTCTGAGGCTCATGACCTTTGTTTTGGTAAATTACTGTTTGTTTATTTTGGCTCAATGGCCTCTCCTTAGTAGTTACAGAACTGTTTTCAGTGTTTCAGTCTTTTCCACTCTACCTGGTAACTTTAGGCTGCTTTTGTTAGTAGTTTTTGGAGAAATTGACAATTTGTTTGATATCTTCATATTACCATTCTTCATTGAAATTATTTAGTTTCACTGTACATAAACAATTTCTGTCTTTTTTATAGTATTATCATAGATATTTATTTTATCTCTTTAAAAAAATTACCTTGGCATATTTTGAGGTTCAGGTTGCATTTTAGAAGTGATGGTTGAGAAACAATGCCTGTATAGTCTATCTATTATTGAAAGAAAAACAATTGAACAAAACACTGATGGAGTCATGCAAAGCCCAGACTTTTGCAACTAAGGAAATAATATGGCAGATTGATGTTATGTTATTACACTTTGAATAAAGAATGCTATATTACAAGGAGACCCATGGGAATAAAATATAGCTAGTTAAATTCACAGTTGCTCAGAGTTAGGAAATAATGGACAATTTTTTAAAATGTGGAGTCTAAATATTTTGTAAAGATATATTGAGATATTAAAGATATTAGAATATATATAAATACATATACACATATGTATGTATATTTATCAGCGTGTATGTGTACATTGTATAAGGAGGGGTGTGTGTGTGTGTGTGTGTGTAGAGAGAGAGCGAGAGAATGCCATATACTACAAATACAAATAGTGAACAAACTGAATTTTGGAAAAGAGATAGAAACCAGACTACCCTGTGTATTAATCTGTTTTCATGCTGCTGACAAAGACATACCCGCAACTGAACAATTTACAAAAGAAAGAGGTTTAATGGACTTACAGTTCCACATGGCTAGAGAAGCCTCACAATCACGGTGGAAGGCAAGGAAGTACAAGTCACATCTTACGTGGATGGCAGCAAGCAAAGAGAGTTTGCACAGAGAAAGAAACTCTCATCGTGCCCCCATGATTCAACTACATCTCACAGGGTCCCTCCCACAACGCGTGGGAATTCAAGATGAGATTTGGGTGGAGACACAGTCAAAACATGTTATTCCACACCTGGCCCCTCCTAAATCTCATGTCCTCAAATTTCAAAATCAATCATGCCTTCCCAACAGTCCCTCAATATCTTAACTCATTTCAGCATTAATTTGAAAGTCTACAGCCTAAAGTCTCAGCTGAAACAAGGCAAGTTCTTTTTGCCTATAAACCTGTAAAATAAAAAACAAGTTATTTACTTTCTAAATACAATGCAAGTATAGGCATTGGCAAATACAGCCATTCCAAATGGGAGGAATTGGCTAAAACAAAGGGGCTATAGGCCCCATGCAAGTCCACAATCCAGCAGGATAGTCATATTTTAAAGCTCCACAATGACCTTCTTTGATTCCATATCTCACATCCACGTCCGGCCAATGCAAGAGGTGGGTTCCCACGGTCTTGGGCAGCTCTGCCCCTGTGGCTTTGCAAGGTACAGCCTCCTTCCTGGCTGCTTTCATGGGCTGGTATTGAGTGTCTGCAGCTTTTCCAGGTGCACGGTACAAGCTGTTAGTGGATCTACCATTCTGGGGTCTGGAGGATGGTGGCCCTCATCTCACAGCTCCACTAGGCAGTGCCCGAGCAGGGACACTGGGTGGGGGCTCTGACCCCACATTTCCCTTCCACGCTGCCCTAGCAGAGGCTCTTCATGAGGGCCCACCCCTGCAGCAAACTTCTGCCTGGGCATCCAGGCATTTCTCTGGATCTTCAGAAATCTAGGCAAAGTTTCCCAAACCCCAATTCTTGACTTCTGTGCATTCAAAGGCTCAACACCACGTGAAAGCTCCCAAGGCTTGGGGATTGCACCCCCTGAAACTACAACTCTAGCTCTACATTGGCCCATTTTAGTCAAACTCTAGCTCAACTTTGGCCCCTTTTGGTCATGGCCGGAGCATCTAGGATGCAGGGTACCAACTCAGTAGACTGCACACTGCACACAGTACAGGGACCCTGGGCTCAGCCCACGAAACCACTTCTTCCTCCTAGGCCTTTGGGCCTATGACAGGAGATTTGCCATGAAGGTCTTTGAAATGTCTTGGAGACATTTTCCCCAGTCTTGGGGATTAACATTCTGCTCCTCACTACTTATGCAAGTCTCTGCAGCCAGCTTTAATTTCAGAATATAGGATTTTCTTTTTTACTATATCATCAGGCTTCAAATTTTCTGAACTTTTCTGCCCTGTTTCCCTTATAAAACTGAATGCCTTTAACAGTACCCAAGTCACATCTTGAATGATTTGCTGCTTAGAAATTTATTCCACCAGATACCCTAAATCATCTCTCTCAAGTTCAAAGTTCCACAAATCTCTAGGGCAGGGGCAAAATGCCACCAGTCTGTTTGATATAACATAACAATAGTCACTTTTGCTTCAGTTCCCAACAAATTCCTCATCTTCATCTGAGACTACCTCAACCTGGATTTCATTGTCCATTTTATTATCAGCATTTTTGCCAAAATCATTTAACAAGTCTCTAGGAAGTTCTGAACTTTCCCACATTTTTCTGTCTCCTTCTGAGCCCTCGAAACTGTTCCAAACTCTCCCTGTTACCCAGCTCCAAAATCACATCCACATTTTCAGATATCTACATCACCACCCCATTATACTGGTAGTCTGCTTTCAAACTGCTGATAAAGACATACCTGAGACTGGACAATTTACAAAAGAAAGAGATGTAATGGACTTTTAATTCCATGTGTCCAGGGAAGCCTCACAATCATGGTGAAAGGCAAGGAGGAACAGGTCATATCTTACATGGATGGCAGCAAGCAAAGAGAGAGCTTGTACAGGGAAACTCCCATTTTTAAATCCATCAGGTCTCGTGAGACTTACTCACTATCATGAGAAAAGCATGGGAAATACCTGCCTCCATGATTCAACTACCTCCCACCAGGGCCCTCCCGCAACATATAGGAATTCAAGATGAGATTTGGGTGAGAACATAGTCAAACCATGTCATTCTGCATATACCCTATTTTATAAATTGGCTTTGTAATCAGGTAAGTATTTTACATTTCTATTAAATACAATTGAGACTTACAAGCAGTTTCCAAAATTTGAATATCAAATAAAACAAATGCAACAACAAACTGTACATCAAGCTTCCAATGTAACTGTACAGAAAGAAACTGTTCAAAGTAACTTCTGAATTGTACATCACTATTGGGATCTATCCTATGTACAAATAAAACAATAATGTTTTAAAGCTTAGCCTGTTTTAAATAATAATTGTTTTGGTAGTAGTAATGGCATTACTATTCTGACAATGTTCTGTGAATCCTGTGGAATAAAGTGAATTGAAATTATCTTGATGGGATTGAGAAAAGAGATTTTTTTTGGCACAGGATGAAGAAAATAGAAATATAACATTGTTGAAATTAAGTAAAATCTCTACAGTCCTGAATTTGACTTGGAATTATCAATTAGAAGTCATGATGTGTGTGTAGTCATGGTGTGTGTGTGTGTGTGTGTGTGTGTGTGTGTGTGTGTGTAAGGTTTTCCACATGTTGTACACTGATCAGTTCTAGATACCATGGCCAAGCCAAAGAAAATAAAAACTAATAAATTCCATTCTATGGTTTCTGCATACCATGCCCCACTGCAAGCAGCCATGACATCTTCAAGAAATAGCTAACCTTAGGACTAAGACAGGAAATGTAAAAGATACTTGTAGAATTTCATGTTATACGAGAAAACAAGGGAGTTACAAAATATGTTGGTGGTTTATCACACATGTAATAAAATGTCATAGAACAACACACACACACACACACACACACACACAGAGGACTGCATACGTACAATGATGAAACTCAATTAAGTGCTATAGTCTAATTAATTGTATTGTGCCAGTTTCAATTTCCAGGTTTAGATAATATACCATAGTTATGTAAGATGTTACTTCTGTGGGAAGCCGGTAATGGGTATAGGAAAGCATTGTGGTTTTTTTTTTTCCAGCTTCATATGAGTCTATAACTATTTTAAAATAAAAAGTTAAAAAGAAAACAAAGGGAAAAAAGTTATCAAACATTATTTGTGTCATGTCAAATGGATACAGAGATTAATGTCCAAAAAACAATTTGGCCAGTAGGCGAACAGTTTGAATCTCAGTGTGAATAATACTTCCAATGAATTGAAAAACATCAAATATATTTAAATTCATGAGTTCCTAAAAATACAAATAAATATACTGTTCATATTTGGAAGATGCTAGGAAACAATTTGTTTGTAAATTGTTTCTATTGTTTGGAAAATTGGTAAACAAAAATAAACATTTGTTCTACCTTTGCTATACAAATTGTTTCACACACTAAGAAATAATACAAGAAAATTTTCTGGAGAAATAGAATTAGAATATTACCATTTTATAATCTATAACAAATGATGGATTTAATATCCTTTGAAAAAACAAAAAGGAAGACAATCAGATATTTTTGGATCACTCATGGAAGAGATAAAAAAAACACCTGTGAGGTATGTTTGTCAAAAATATCAAATGTGAATCTAATCATGATCCTAGGTCTTATTAAAAATGTACAAGTGGCTGAGCGCAGTGGCACATGCCTGTAATCCCAGCACTTCAGGAGGCCAAGACACTTGAAGCCAAGAGATGAGACCACCCTGGCCCACATGGCAAAACCCCATATCTACTAAAAATACAAAAAAAAATTAGTTCAGCATGGGGGAAAGTGCCTGTAGTCCCGACTATTCAGGAGGCTGAGTTAGAGGAATCACTTGATCCCAGGATGGGGAGGTTGTAGTGGGTCAAGATTGTGCCACTGCACTCCAGCCTGAGCGACATAGTGAGGCTCTGTCTCAAAAAAAAAAAAAAAAAAAAAAAAAAGAGAGGAAGAAAAGAACAGGTACTACAGAAAACAGAGGAACATGTTAAAATACACCCTAAAGGTGCAATTATCCAAATGCTGCTGTGAAGACTTCTACTGGTCAAACTCCCAGTTTCTTTAAGATGTGTTTCAAAGAAACAAAAGAGATGATGAGGAAACTACACATTGCAAAAAAATATACGAGATATAGAGAGATATAAGAGATTAAGAGATATGGCACAACTAATGTAATATAAGGACCACCTTGGATCTTGCTTTGTACAAACAAGCATTTTAAAAATATTAAACAGTCAAATACATTTTAATCCTGGTGATTGGGTAATATTAATATATTATTGATATTTCTTCAGGGATAGTAATGATATTTTGATTATGTTTTAAATAGAGTCTTTATCTGACATATTCAAGATGATACTATAACTGAGATTTGTATAAAACAGTCTAAAACGGGATGAAATGGGAAGAGCAGTGGGTATGAGTATGAATGGGCAATGGTAGAGGTATAGAAATGTTTGATAATTGTTGGTGCTGGATACTAATTAGATGGAGGTTCATTATTATTCACTCTAATTTTACATATGTAAAAAATTTTTATAATAAAAAGTTATTTAAAAGGGAAAGCTGAGCAAAAAGATTGCTCAGTGAGCCAAGTGAAGAAATTTTTCTAATCATTTTTATTACCATAATTTCAGGTGGACTTTAAAAGACAGTGGTTCTATAGTGATTCTTTTCTTAGATTGACACCAGTATTGGATTGTGACATGCTTGGTTATAGTTATAGCAGTTTAAAAAGAACAAAAATCCTCCTAAAACTTAAAAAATATACTTACAAACTTATTTTCCTTACTTGTGACTTCTGTTTTCTTTTTCTCCATCCTGGTTCTGATGCATAGGCTGTCTCCTGTTGCATATGTCTTCCCAACTCCCTTTCTTTTGTTAGTTTGGTCCTTAGCTAGCACTTGCTCCACGATTAATGCATTTCTCTTTATCACCTGTTAACATGAATTTCAATGATTTTTCTCAGTTATAAGTGGTTTCTGCAGTTCCCTGGAAATGTGTGTAATTATCAGTCTACCAGCCTGCAGTTTTCCAGTCTTTCCAACTGAAGCTACTGAATCCCCATGTAGTGGCACATTTTCACCTCAAAGAGGACTGAATCCTGCTCCCAAATAACGTGATCATTCGTTCTGTACTCCTAAGAGATACACCCCTTTTCATTTCCCCAGCTTACAAAGCACTGCTTATCTATTTCACCACAGTGCTATTTACCACATACCTTAAACTTTAATTCTAGATACTGAATTTTCCTTATCCTCCTCATGGACGTACACATAGGGCCTATTTCATCAGGTACAATTCATTGAAAAACAAAGGTTATGCCTTGGTTATTTATTGTTGCATAACAAATGACCCTAAATTTGGTGATTTATACCAACCAAAAACATTTATTTTGTTATAGTTTATGTGGATCAGGAATTTGGGAGCAGCTTAGGTGAATGACTCTTGTGAAGGTTTCTTGTGGAGTTGCAGTTAAGAATCTTAGTAGGAGCTGCATTCATCTGAAAGCTTGACTGGGACTGGAGAACCAGTTTACAAGATGTACACTCACATGGCTGTTGACTGGATAATACAGGTTCTCACTATATAGGATTTCCCCATAGCGGGTTAGAGCACCTTCATGACATAGTAGCTGGCTTCCTTCTCCAAGAAAGAGACCAAAGCAGAAGCCACATGCATTTTCTGATCTAGCCTCAGAAGTCTTACATCATAACTATGCCATATTCTATTGGTCACACAGACCAAAACTGGTAAAATGTTTTAATGCATGGTACAGGAACATAAATACCAGGACGTGGGGATCTTTGAGGACCAACCTGAAGGCTGGCTGTTGCAGATTGTTTGACAGTTTATCTTCAAGAAGTTTTATTTTGAGTTCTCATTCTATCTTTGTATTGATTACTGCCTAACAAACTATCTCAAAATGTAGTGGCTTAAAACAGCAATCATTTATTACTTTTCATAATTCTGGAGGTGGAGAATTGGACCAGGGTCAGTTGGAATGGCTCACCTCTGTTTCATGAAGTGTTAGCTAGGGGCTTAACTGTGGGGGCTTGACTGCTTGGATGGTCCAAAATGATTCCACTTACATGTCCGGAGGTCGGTGCTGACTATTGGCAAGGCATCTCTCCGTATGGTCTCTCATTCAATCATCCCCCGCAGGTTTTTTATTTTGGACACAGGGTCTTGCTCTGTCACCCAGGCTTGAGTGCGGTGATATGATAATAGCTCACTGCAGCCTTAATCTCCTGGGCTGAAGTGATCTTTCTGCCTTAGCCTCCTGAGTAGCTGGGATTACAGGCCCATGCCACCATTCTCAGCTAACTTAAAAAAAAAAAAATTAATAGATATGTGGTTTCACTTTTTTGCCCAAACTTGTCACGAACTATTAGCTTCGAGTGATTCTCGTGTCTCTGCCTCCAAAAGTGCTGGGATTACAGGCATGAGGCACTGTGCTCAGGCCTCAGGCTTTCTTACATAGTAAAAGGGATATTCCAAGAGATGGAAGATAGAATCTGTACTGAGGCCCTGAGACTCACCTCATGTCAGTTCTAGCACATTCTATCAGTCAAAATAAATCACAGGGCCAGCCCAGATTCCAGAAAGAGGGAAACAGATTCCACCTCTGGAGGGGACTGTGATTTTCAGTTGGCCAGACTCTTCATTACCTATCCT